TCTTAAGAGTGACCTGAGGTCATGCTGTTCCTTGCTAGAGAATAGTTGTGAATGAGGAGGGCCTTGTGATATTTCTTTGTCCTTGTTTCTGAGTCAGCTGGAGTAGAACCTGGCAGAGTGTGAAAACAGATCATTCACAGTTTAGATTTCAATTATTGGCATCAGATTACAAGCAAATGCCACACGGACAAATGCCTACCTGAGAAACTGAGACAATATATGGCACTTTGCAGCCATCATGAAAAGTCAGATACTACAATTTATTTTCATACGGTGACCTCTGTGTAGACCATCACAAAATGCTTCGCAAGTTACTTGTCAGCTACAAAGTAGCTGATAAGTTACTTGTCAAGACTTTAAAATGGGTTTGAGACAGAGAGACACAGACTGTTTTTTGACGTTTTAAACCATTATTATAAAAATAAAAGATAAAAGTACAGAAGTGTGTGGCTCTCCCATGGAAAACTTTCAACAGTAAAAGCACGATATGCAGCCCTGCCTTCCATGAGATTACGCATTTAGGATTAGCTGTCCATTTTCCACCTTGCAGAGTGTCCCCTCAGTGCCCTAGTGTGATACAAACTGGTCGAGACAGGCAGCCCAAGCAAAAATATGTCCCTGCCAGAATAAGGAGTGGTGGAAGTGGCAACCAACCCAACTTCTTTTTAATGCTTCCCTTTTTATGGGCATATTTTACCAACACACAAATCCGATCTGTATACTTCCACTATTTTCTGTCTGAATAACTAATTCAAGGCTCCTAATTCAAGACCCCGTTAATGCTTACAATCCCTGGCCTTGACTAGGGTACCACTGATGTGGATGCTATACATGCACACAGTAACAGTTACTATTTATAGTTAAATAGGACAAACACAAAAAGTATAGGCAGAAGTCAGTTCTGTGATATCCATTCTACATAGAGGGAATGGAGAGACCAAGTGACCTGACCCAGAGTTGCACAGGAAGTCTGCGGAACTTCTTCTGCTTCATGTCACTTACTTAGGCGCCTAAACAGGGCCTTAGGAATCCACCTTTAGGAACCTAGACATGAAGAGGTTTCCTTGATTAGAGCCATAGGGAAAGCTGCCTTCATATTGCTTTGGGGTCATCAAAGCTGAACCTAAGAAAGCAACTTGTTAGTTGATAAAGAAAGCTGCTACCAGAAGGACTTGCTGTCCTGCTAGTGACCTTCTTGAAAATGGTACTTCAGGAAAGAAAGTGTCCTCCTGGAAGCTCAAGCACTAATGCTCTTGCTGTTATTGCAACTTCATAAAAGTTCCCACGGAAAGCAAAAGGCAAACATGCACTATACTGCCCCTGCAAAAACCTCACTCCTTGGGAGGGAGGTAATAAAAACAGCAAGGTGACTAACAGAACAGCAGTCCAAGATGAATTGAGTATCAGGTACCTGGTATATATGTTTTTATTTAAAAGTAACATTTTTTTATTCTAGTGATGGGTGGTCTGATGCTTGCATTTTGTTCTTAAATTTCCTATTTATAAATTTGTAGAGAGCTAACAAGAGCAGAGAGGTTTGGAAGGAGACCAAGAACAGATGATGCAAACAGAGTAAGAAGCTAGGTGGGTCAGAAAGAGCTGGTCCAGCACTTGCTGGAAAGTCTGGAAACAAAAACAGGGCTTTATGATTGATATAATATTATTTATTTGTGTTACCATGGCAGCAGAAAACTTCTGTATGGATAAGGATCCTGCTGTGCTTTGTGCTACAAACACAGAACAAATTCAGCATCCCTGTCCCAAAGAACTAGCTGTAGATAGGCCTGGTTTATACTAGTCCCCAGATTCTTAACCACACATTAAATTATTACAGTAAAAAGTAATTTCTTCAAATTTGATCCAAGATGGTTCTACAGGATCACTCTGCTCCCTAATTTACTAAAAAATTACAGACTGGGGGCTTGAGCAGCCATGGGAAAATGACTGCATTTACTGCACATTAGGCTAACCCCATCCTTGGGACTGCAGATAGGCCATGGAGGTGGCTAGAAAAATCAGCTGTTCAGCCAGAACTGCAGACAGACAGGAAAATCCCATCCCCCTACTTCAAACCTCTCGCCCATTTTTTCCCCAGTAAGATGCACATCCTTTTTTCTTCCCTGATAATTGTGAGGAAACTGACTTTTAATTTAGAATGAAGGTTCAGGCCACTGGAGAATCATTATCTCCATTGTCTCCTTTATGGGGAGTAGAACCAGGCTAGATAATCTAGCTAAATTTCAAAATTATCCAAAATTAAGCCTGTTCTACAAATTGAAAACAGGAAGCTAGTTCAGTATGGTTTGTTTCCTTGATTCCAGAAACAATGTCATTCTCCAGCACTAAGCGAATGAACTCTTACCTTAGTTGTTGCACATGTCTATTTGTACAGCCTGTGAGTGCTTGTGGAGCTGGTATGTAGACTGGAGGGAAACAAGAGGTGAAGGCAATCACTGCCCTCCTGGGAAAAAAGGGCAAGGGGGAGGAATGCAAACTATCCTCTTTAACAGAAAAATTTGTTGGCCCTTACCTCTGGGGCCTGAGCTTGAGTGCTCTTCCAGCTCTGAATCCCAGTGTGTTGTTGCTTTGAATTTTCTTGCCAGACTATTTCTCAGTTTAAAATCTCAAAGCCAGGACATAATTCATGATATTCAACTTAAGTGGACAGTCTCCTGGGTTCTCCCATAATGTTTTAATTATCCCATTATATACCTTCAGTGACAAACAGGAAGCATAGCCTCAAGGGGCATGTCCAGATGACATTTGCAACGCCACATACCGCACAGCCCGGTCTTCTCCATGCTGCAAGTGTGCTACCTGATGCACCGGATTTTTTTTGGCCCCTGGATATCTAGGGGTCAAAACAAACACACAAAAACAACAGCAGAAAAAACCCAACAGCGCAGCACACACTTGGGCAGCGTGTGCTGCTAAAAAGCAAAGCTGGGCCAACTGGAACTGTGCTGAAGCTACCAGACAGGCTCTGCATGGCAGAATTGCCTCGGCTGCAGTCCCGGGAGGCCCCCAAGTGAGGCTGCTGGAGCCAGCCCAATGCTGGCCCCAGCCTACCCTACCCCACCTGGGGCAACTTGTCGCACGCCAAAGCGCGCACATTGCACGGGTGTTCCCCAGAGACAGCTAGCTGTTGTGCAAGGTGCGCCGCCGCTAGTTGTCCCTGGGGAACCAAACATCAATGCACACCTGGACGTGCCCAAGAAGGGCAGATTCAGTCTCTTGGAGCTGACAAGAGCATTAGGGAAGAACTGATTAGCTTTTTCTAAAATATTGAGAAACTGATTTTTTAAATGGGGAAAAAAGAAAATCATTGTTGATAAAATCATAAAAGACAAGGACTGACTGATTGGTGTAGATACAATCATAATACCAAGCCATTTGGATCTTTTGGTAAGCCGGGCCCATTAAAACAAAGTATGTTTTAATCCAGTTTATGCAAGGTTGTACATTTTGAAACAAAGAACCATACACATACCATACATACACAAGGGGAGACTATGCTGTAAAAAGACAGACTCTGAAAAGTATTTCAGGATCAGAATAGATAATCAATCCATTATGAGTTCCCAGTGTTATGCTGTAGCCAGAAGAGCTAATGCAATCATAGAACCATAAAAAACAGGGCTGGAAGAGACCTCAAGAGGTCATCTAGTCCAACCCTCTGTTCAAGGCAAGATCATCCCTGTTTCAGTCATCACAGCCAAGTGTTTGTCTAGCCTTCTCAAATATTTCCAGTGATAGAGACCCTTCCACTTCTCTAGGTGACCTATTCCAGTGCTTAACACCCCCCCCCAGTAGTTAGAAAGTTCTTCTTTCCTAATCCTTGGATGCATGAAGAGCAGAGTAATGCTTAAGGGATGGGAGGAAGGTAATTTTACTTCTGCTTACAGCAATGGTGAGACCAATTCTAGATCACTGTACAAAGTTCTGGTGTCCACATTTTAAAAAGGTACCAGAAAAAAAAAAAGAAAGCCCCACAAAAATCAAGCAAGTACTAGAAAAGTGCCTTAAAAGGGAGCGAGAGCTTGGTCCGTTCATTTGATCAAAAAGGAAGTAAACAGGTGACTTGATTGCAGTGTATAATTACTCTCAAAGTAAGAGAAGGCACCTGGCACCACAGAGCATTTTAAACTTGTACAGAAAAGCATGACAAGAACCAAAGACTAGAATCTGAAGCCAAGTACAATGAACAGATCCTATGGCTTAAGTTAGTTTGAGTGCCTTCCTAGTGAATGGCAGATCTTAGGTTCAAATTAAAAATAAGCACAACTTTTTAACAGTGAGTATTATTAACTATTGAAACAAACTATCCAGGGATGAGATGGGTTCAAATCTAGACAATTTTTACGGAAGATGATAACCTGTGCTTAACTAAAGTATAAGCCTGCTTTGGGTTGACTGGGTAAAATTCTACAGCCTATATTATAAAGGAGGTCAGACTAAATATTCTAAAGCACCTTTTTAGTTTAAAAGCAGAGAAGAGGGGGAAGAAAGGAACGAAGAACATTACATAAATGGAACTTTTCCCCCACAATTGCATTCAATTTTCAAGTGTCCCTGCAAACCAGACCTAGGATTAATTAAACTGAGTATATGTCACTATTTTTTTTTATTACCCTTTTATTGACTTGCCAGTGTGTGGTCATCCAGGAAAACAAAACAACACAAATTTAAAAACCCCAGAAGCAACCCTGCTAGGCTTGGTTTAATTCAAGAAGTGAGGAGAATGTGGTTTAATAACCACTAAGAAATAGAGGTAACAGAAAAAACACCATCTGCAAACAAAGTTTAAATGGGAAACTTGCTACAGCATCCACTTATTTCTCCTTCCCCAAGTTTCCTGCCTCTCTAGTTCCAGATATTACAAACCACTGTTCCGAATACTTTGAACTTTTAACACTTGTACAAACACACTGCATCCACACACAGCAACTGACTCAGGTAATCTAGAAACATTAGTTGTACTGTTCTGTTGCAACACTTACAATGAGATCTTTAGCTGCGTTTCCAGTACACAAGTGCATTATAAAATGCTTTTTTTCCAGCAGGAGCAGAAGACTGATACTGTATTTGCAACTGTTTGGCTGGTCCTCACTTTGTCCCACAGTGTAGATACGTTTCATGATGTATGCCTATGTGGAATAAGTTGCTAGAATGCCTAAATTGTTATAAAAACAAATGCTAGAAAAATCCACTTGTCTAATCACTTGACTGCTACTGTTACTATTTAATTAAAGGGAGAATTGTTTGCACTAAACTCCTCTTTATAGTTCCCCAAGGTCACAGGTGTTTGCATTTTCCAGTGTTTTTCTAGAACTTCTGACAATCAATTGCTGCTATTTCTACAAGATGGCTGCACCCCCTTGCAAATTCTAAGAGCATTTGTGGGATCATCTAATTGTAATATAGAGGACAGGGATTTAAAAACTGGACAGATAGAGTGCAGAATCAACTAGTCCATCAAAACATCTCTAATTCATCTGCCCTCATTTCTTTCTGAATCAGCTCCCTATATTTAATCTGAATGCAAGGACACTGTTGATTGACCTCTTGTGTCAGGATGCTAATGATGGTGCTTTGGATAATTATATGAATATTTGTGTTTATACAACCCCATTAGCAGGCCAAATTTAGACAGGGTATAAGCTAATGTAACTGTATTGATTTCTATGGAATTATACCCTTTTAAATGGGTCAAATTTTGCTCATTTCATTAATTAATTCTGAGCAATTGTGCTTGCTAGCTCTAATGTGATTAAAAATAATGGGTGTTGCCTTGGTTGCTAGCTTGTTGAACTATTCGAATTGAATAAAGAGTGGTTAGAGGCTAGTTTTCTTGTGAAGCAAACTACTTGCTAAGACCACAACTAAATTAAAACAGTAGATATTTTGAAAAACTAGCTGATGTTGAATAGGTAACATTTGTCTTGTAAAGGTAGGTACCAGCCTTTTAATAGTAACTAGGATGTCTTAGAGTGTCAGTTCTGTATGACATTAATTATTCTCTTACATATTCCACTGTTAGCAATCTTAACAGAATGAAATATATCTTGTGTCCCCTTCCTTGCTGGCTACTTAAAAAGCTATTAACAGTTCTGTCCTCCTTTCATCTTTTTTGCCTCCTGGGCAATTAAGATATGCAACTCAAGTAGATGCTGCATGGGTTCTTTTCCTCTTGTCTGCATATTTGGTTTGGCTACCAACACAAATGTCTGCTCACATTCTTACAAGATCCTACAGATTCAAACATCCATGGTGTGTACAAGAGACATGCTAAGGAAACATCTCAGTGTATCATTAATACAGTCTGTGCATTTGTCTTGTTTTGAGGGGCTAAGCATGAGCATGCTGGGTGCCTGTTCCCTTGGCAAGGAGTTCTACCTTCCTATCTTGCCCAACTGAGAGAGGTATAATTCTAAAATGAATCACTTAGGATAGCGGGAGTTAACCTTTCTGGAAGATGTGCCACAACTTAAGGTTCATGATCTCCTGAGTGTCACTCTGATCCCCTTCCCCTGCCCAATCTGCCAGTCTGCTTTCTGCTCCCTGACCTGTAGCCTCATCCTGATCTGCTGTTTTGTTTTCTGATCGTGCCTTATTTGAAACAGTGCTACCTGCCCTTTCCTGATCTGCTGTGTGCTACACACAGAGCTGCCCATGCCTCTTGTGGCACGTGCCACAGGTTGGCAACTCTTGACTTAGGAATAAAGACATTTTTTCCAGTGGCAATCTCCCAAATTATTCATAAAGTGTCTTTCAAATGGATGCACGTTGCCCACAATTTCCCCAATACCAAGTCCATACTGGTATTACCAGACTCAGCCTGATTGAAATTTAGTTTCAAAATGTATCATTTTCCACAGGTACATTCCCAAAGGAATACTGGTGAACAACAGCAGACTCTCCCTATGCCTGAAGAGGGGTGTTTGCACTTGAAAGTTTGCAAAGAATAATTTTTCTACCTATTTAGTTGGTCTAATAAAAGTTACCACATTTACCCAAAGAACCTTGTCTTTACCAAAGTAAGGCTTTCCTGGCATTTTTATCACTTGGTTGCAAGATTTGATTTCCTTACTGTGCTTGTAGATGGCAAAAAGCTATACTATCATAAGGACTGGGATCGTCTTTACCTCTTCCTCATCCCTTTTTGGGTGATATTCCCCCCTGGATGTGGCTAGGATGAACAGGTACCTAGTCTGCTCAGAACAGGGACTATTATTTCATGTCTTCATGCCCAAGATGCATGGGGGGGAGAAGAAGGCTGCCTGCCCCCTTCCCTTCTTTGAGATCTATATGAGGCCAGGTCCAAAATGACGCTTGAGGTTTAGTTAATTTCCCTGCATTAGGCACAGATGGCCAAACTAATCAGACTGATCCCTCTGTAGCTCCCTATTTCTGAAACCTTTCCATTGCAGCTGCTGATAAAACCTGTCTGACTCTCCTGGCCGGTTTTCACCCCTTAGTCACAGCTTACTGAACCCTCCTTCATGTCTAGTATTCACTGTGACTACAGATGAAGGAGGCTGCATATAGCTGAAACCGAAGACAGAATTAAACTGGCTTCTCATCCTGAGAACTGTATGCATACAGAACAGGTACATGAGGAGCAGTAGGAACTCCTGGAAACCATCCCATCAATTGAGAGAGTCCAAAAGAGGGCCACTCGCATGATCCGGGGACAGCAGGGCAGACCCTAGGAGGAGAGGCTACAGGACCTTAACCTGTTCAGCCTTCACAAGAGAAGGCTGAGAGGGGACCTGGTGGCCGTCTATCAACTTACTAGGGGGGACCAGCGGGGAATGGGAGAGACCTTGTTCCCCCGAGCACCTCCCAGAGTAACAAGGGATAATAGCCATAAGTTGTTAGAGAGTAGGTTCAGACTAGACATTAGAAGGCACTACTTCACAGTCAGGGTGGCTAGGATCTGGAACCATCTTCCATGGGAAGTAGTGCTGGCTCCTCTTACCTTGGGGGTCTTTAAGAGGAGGCTTGACGATTACCTAGCTAGGGTCATTGAGCCCAGTTTTTTCTCCTGCCCAGGGCAGGGGGTCGGACTAGAAGATCTGCAAGGTCCCTTCCGACCCTATGTCTATGAATATCTATGAATGTGCCTCAAATCTGGCCTAGAGTAATCATTTAAAAAAAGGAAGGGTTCAATCATTGACTGAGAACAAGGGTCCCAATTAATGCTTCATGTGCTAATGTGGGAGGCCACAAGGCCCTTTAATTATACTGTTCCCTACTCTGCCACAGACTTGTTGGATGACGCTCGGAGTCACTTGACCTCTCTGGAAAGTCGTTTAATCATCTGTACATTAGGGCTGTGCAAAGTTTCGGTTTATGATTCCAGTCGGCGAAGATTCGGCCCGATTCGGAGGCCGAATCTCCAAATCCGAATCGAATCGCTAGATGCTTTAAACTTTCCGAATCGATTCAGAGCCTCCGAATTGATTCGGAAAAGCTATGGTGATTCAGAGGGCAGTCTTTATGGGGAAACAGAAACTTAGAAGAGGGAGGGGGAGCAGAGGGGGAAGGACTGACATCTCTAGCTGGCCAGTGACTGTGATTTCTTTCTGACTGCCCTTCCAATCACAGTGTCTGGGGGGAGGGATATAGAAGCCTCTGTCTGCAGGCTTGCTGTGCCTTTTGTGAGCTGGTTCTGAAAAAGCAACAGCATCAGAAAGGTACTATACTGCCTGGCTTGCTCCCTAGTCAGTCAGTTGCCTGCTCTTTTTTGTTCTTAGAAAGGATTGGATAGGATATAGCTTAGCTTAGCTTAGAATCTCTCTACTTAATACTTATCCAATTCATTTGTTTCAATTTATATTTGTTCTCTCTCTTTTTTTTTTTTTTTGCAATACTTTAAAAAAAGAAAGAAAGCCCAGTGTTTTCCCTTGCAGTGTGATCCATCAATGTGCAGGGAAGCACACATTACACACACACACACACACACAGAAGTCAGATATTCATAGAAGAAGAAGAGATTCAGAATCAGATTATATATAGTTATTAGTTATTACTATTATTATAGTTAGTTTACATACAGACTAAAGACAACACAGAAGTCAGATAAAGATTCAGATCGAGACTAACACAGAATTCAGGCTCACAGGCTGCACCTCATAGTCAGGGATGCCTTGGAGGGGGACGGGGCTGCTGGTGATGGTGCTGCCACCACTACTGCTACAAGCCAGCTGATTTCAAAGTGCAGGAAGGTAGCGGGCAACTTCCACTGAAGCATCAAAGGGGGCAAGATGCTGTGGGAGAAATAGGCAGAGCTCAATATCCTGCAGCACAAAATCATGCAGGATGTGGAGACTTGGTGGAACTCCACATACCTGATGCTCGAAAAGCTGATGGAGCAACAGAAGGCCATCCATGAGATGGCCTTGCTTGGGGAGATTGGGATCAGTGGCCCCCTAAACAGAGCTGAGCGGGGTACCATCTCCCAGATCCTGGTGGTCCTCAAGCCCTTCATTGAGGCCACCAAGACCCTTAGCGCTGGCAATGCCCTTCTTAGCTAGGTGATTCCCATAGTGAGGGAACTTGAGAACCAAATGGAGAAGTTCCAGGGGATCAATGTTCCTGGCTGGGGCAGGCTGCTGTCACCAGATGTGCAGGCACTGGAGAGGTGGCTAAAGGAGGGCATCAGGAGACTGCTGGATCCCTTGCAGTCCAGTACAGTCCACATGTTGGCGGGCATATGTCTCCCAAGGGTGAAGGGGAGCATGTGCACTGGCAGCACTAAAACCCTCAATCACTGGATGCAGGTGCTTGTCAACAAAGTCAGGGAGGCCGAAGGGCAGAGGCGAAGGGATGTGGAAGAGGAGGACCACTTTCCTGTGCCAGCACTCCCAGCACCAGCATCGGCACCAGCACCAGCACCAACCAGTCTTCTCCATGTCAGCCACTGCTAATGTGGGCCATGGGCATGGCTTCAATGGTGGGGTCCAAACACACCAGAGCCCAGCCTTGGGCAGGTGGCGCTGAGGCTTCGTGGCTACCTATCTTGCCAAGGATGTGGAGCCACTGGACTGCAACCCCTTGGCCTACTGGGCAAGCCACAGCCAGATGTGGCAGGATCTGGCCACGGTTGCCCAGCCATACCTGTCCTGTCCACCAACCAGTGTTCCAAGTGAAAGGGTGTTCAGCATTGCTGGGGATGTTGTGACCCCCACTGCCTTCCTGGATCCTGGTTTGGTGAAGCAGC